CAGCCTACATGACACATGCTGATGGTCTCAGCCCCATTCTGAGCAGCTCTGTAAGGAGATAGTGCTGATCAATGAATAGGCACGTTCTGATTCCACCTCTGCCACTGATCTACTGGATGACCTTGGGCAAGTCACTTGCACTCTCTATTTCCCCTCTCGTGCTTTTTCCTTGCTTGGATTGTAAACTCTTCAAGGCAGGGACTGCCTCTTACGAAAAGACTGTACAAGGCTTGACAGACGTGGGATTCTATTTCATCTGGGGTCTCTAAGGGGTCACCTTATACAACTAATAACCACATGCACAAATGCCCTAGCACTGCTAGCCCTCCCCCTTGAGCGCTCACTGTGCCTGGAGAATGGACTCCCAGTCCTTGTTGGGGTCTTCCTAGAGCAGACTCGTGTGTGTGTGTGTGTGTGTGTGTGTGTGTGTGTGTGTGTGTGTGTGTTGGTGCTACCCTTGGTGCCCCTCTTCTAGCGGTGAAGAGAAACCTTTCATCTCAGACTTTCCTGCTTAGATGTTGGTCCTTGAAGCCGGAGCAGAGCACTTCTCAGCATTCCGATCCAGGGCTTCCACATCTCAAGCTCTCTGGATAGTTCAGGGAATGGTTCCGCCCCTTATAAGATTACGACGGGGTCTTGGGTTCTTGGCTGCAGCCTGGAGATGCAGAGCGATTCTGCTGAGTCCACAGGCACCCAGGTCAGGTGGATCTCGTTAACCCCTCCCAGAAGTGTAAAACATGAGAGGAAGCAAGAGAGGGGGTGAGATAGAAGGTCTTGCTCAGAAAAATTCCCCCCCGCCATCCGGCTCTGGCGTGAGCCCAGCCGAACCTGAATTCTCTGCACGCGAGGAACCAGGTGATGCTGATGTCTGACAACATGCACTTAATGTTCAGTCACAACAGGTCATGCGGCAGTGTGTCCTATGACTGTGAACTCTCCGTGTGCAGAGCACCCTCAGGCAATGAGAACCCTTTCACACACCCTTCTAAACACACTGCTGCATTGACTGCTAGGAGATTACATGACGTAGACCAGTTTGTTTCTGCTCCCCCCTAAGGAAACAGTCCCACCGCTTGCCATGACCCTTAGGAAACAACAATACAGCCACAGAACCTGAAAGCCCAGGATGGCAGAGAGGACCTTCCCTCGCCCCTCCCAGCATTCAGCAAGAACACCATCGTGATTATTTGCGTATTTCTGTAGCGGTCAGTAGCACCCAGAGACCAGAGTTGTGGATCAGGCCCATTGTGTTTGGTGCTGTATGTCATTAAAAAAAAAAACGTCCTTGCCCCAAAGACCTTATTGTCCTCACATACACTGGGTATTAATTCTCCTTCAAAGCAACTGGGCAAGTGGGGCGGCTTCCCTTCGCCCCGCGCTTCAATAGGCCTCGCCCTGCCGTGTATCTGCCGCTGCCGCCCTTACCTCCCGGCGCCGCC